TGATAAACAGACAGGTGATCTCTTTGTGACCCTCCCCCCCCCCCCCCCCACACACAGGGGAGGATTCCTTAAAGCAAGCATTGTCCTTAAAGGAAGAAGGCAATGCACTGGTGAAAAAGGGGGAGCATAGAAAGGCGATTGAGAAGTACAGCCAGAGCCTCAAGCTTAACTCTGCAGAAGTCACGACTTACACAAACAGGTGAGGACATCAAGGCTTCAGCATATGCTGGGAGGAGTCTTCTTCAAGGTTGTGGATTCAAATCCTATGGGCATCAGAATAATCATTTTTCTACTGGCCCCTTGGACAAGTCCCTTAACCCCCACTTATCCAGGGGTGCTCACAGGCTTTTCTCACATGCACGGCGCTTTTGGATGAAAGCATCCCCTAAATACATGTGAAAATCCATGTGGTGCCCCCCAGTGGGTAGTTTAGGAGCTTAGGTTCTTCATTTACGGCTCTTCTGATAGTCAAACTGCTGTCTCAGAGAATTCACGGGGCTGAGATGCTTACTCCAGTACTTTCTGTGAAACTGGAGCAGTGGGAGAAGAGAAGCAGTATGTCCCCACAGAATAATTCCAGGCTGTCTTTGGTCTCACGTTAAGTCGGTTTTGTGTCATCCATGGGCATACACTGTGCACTGTCTGCAGCCGGCTCTTCCACACACACTGTGGTCCTTAACACCAGCATTCCCATATGCCCACCACGCAGGGCGCTCTGTTACCTCTCTCTGAAGATGAACAAGGAGGCGGTAAGAGACTGTTTGGATGCCCTCCGACTGGATCCCAATAACGTCAAGGCTCTATACAGGCGAGCACAGGCACACAAGGAGCTGAAAGTAAGACGATTTTGATCTTTTTAAATCACCCATTGCTCTTTGCAAAATAACCACTGAGGCGTCTCCATGTCCATGCAGCAGTGTCTGATCTGTCTAGGAAGGGCTGCTTCCATTTATTACTTTTAAGTGGCTTTTGTCTTGTCACAGTGGAAACGGGCAGTATGTGTTAAATATTCCGTTCTATTAGCATCAGTCATGAGAAGCAGCAGCTCCTAGTTATTTAAGCCGTAAGTCAATTTGAATAATTCAGACGGTCAGATATTGCCATGTTTAATGGTCACTCACTTCCTCACAGGACTACAAAGCTTGTGTTGAAGACCTTAACACCCTGCTGAAAATTGAACCGAAGAATACAGCTGCACAGAAATTAAAACTGGAAGTACAGAAGATGAAGTAACTTCAGTGCTTCTGGGCCCCAATTCTTTGATTTAAACAGGGTTTTTAAAGTGCCCTTATTTTGCCCTTGTTTAGTTCATCTTTCTGTGGTATTTAATCACATTAAATATGTCTAGTTTTTTTTGTAGTATTTTGTAAGTTTTTACTTGTTCTGCAGCAAGGCTGGAAATCTATGCACTGTAAATTTAAGCTTTGTCTATTTATAATATTACAACAGAATGGACACATGCAGACATTTGGAGTTTCAGCGTTTTCAAAATTGCATTACATGAATCAGAATTTTAAACATTAAGTTTAGTGTTGAATGACCATTTCCAAATTAAGCCACTGTTAAAATTGTGTACATATTACGAGTTCTGTTTCATGATGGAAATAACTTTCATAACTTGTAAGGATAGTTAATTAGCTGTTTTGTTTGGAAAAGTCTTATTTTCCAATGCCTCTCACCCTTTAGGGTAAAGTAAATTGCTTTCCGTATTTTATTTCGCTTAGTTGTAAGAACTCTCCTCAGGGTTTGAAAACATTTGTACAGCTTGCATCAAAAACAGACCGAAGATACTCCTTTTGGCAGAGAAGATTAGTAAAGATGGGCAGTTTAATTACAGGTAATTCCAGATTGTTTTGGGGCAGTGTAACTGAAACAAACCTGGAGTAGGCGTTGCCTCAGGACCCTGTGTTGTGTTTAAGGGAATCAGTGTTGCTAACACAGAGACTCACGCACATTAATGTGGCACCAGCTACTAAATATGAGAGAGTGTAAGGATACAGTACGTGTGTGGGTACTTCATATCACTGTTTCTCAATCCAGTCCTTAGGGACCTGCACACAGTCCACGTTTTTGCTACTGGGAGCTGGGAGGGAGCAAAAATGTAGTCTGTAGTCCCCCAAGGACTGGGTTAGGAAACACTGCTAGATTGATTCAATTTTTTGTTTCACTAGTGAGGCTGTGATGCATTTTGAAGGTGAAACCCACACAATGACCTGCTATGAATGACGAGCCTCTTTATTATTATTTTTTTGGAAATATCTCAGCCTCTTACATATGAAACATGCTGCTGATTTTTGTCTGTCAGTTGACCTGAGGGCTACCAGTCATGTCTGTAGCACCAGGAAAGGAAAGTACTTGTATATCGCTTGATTGTGAATGAAGATGTTCTAGCGTCTGGCTTTGTGGTTTTCACTTTAACTGATTCCTGCGTGTAAAGTATCTGGCTGTATAAATGGGGAAGTTGTAACTCCATGGATTAAAAGAATTAGAGATGCAAATAAATATTTGATGTTATTGCTTAAGTAAATATGCTTTATTTTGTGTGTATTACCATGGTGAAGACTGAAGACTGTGGTGCACTTTAGTGGGTTGGACATTTGAGAGTTTACTGCATGGTGACATGCATTAAAATATATCTACAAGGATCTGCAATATTTTTTATTGTTGGGGATTGAAACTGTGAATCATACATGCATAGATACATTTATGGTTTTATGAATAACCAGGCGGAAGTGGTGCCTGAGTGGAGTGTATATATTTTTATTCATGTGTATATTCAGCTGCTTTTGCTTCCTTTGAATTTTGGTGTGACATCCTATATAGCACATTTTATTAATCTTTTATTATATACTGCTCCTGACCAAGTTAAGTTCATCAGTGCTTGCTAAAACTGGTCAGTGTCTATTTACAATAAAATTATTTTCCAGAAAGTACTGCATATATCAGACTTTGACATAAGACTATGACATAACCTTAACTCACAATAGGAATGTTCTTTTTCTTTTTTCTCTTAAAAATATTAATAATGAGATTAAGATTTCATAATTCATCCATCTTCTAAGCATTCGTCATGGTCAGGGTGTCTTGGAGCCAATCCCAGGAAGCATGGGGCACAACCAAGATGGGATGCCAGACATTGCAAGTGCAACGCACACATACAGTCCAGGCAATTTAGTCACGCAAATGATTCTAACTGAATCTCTATTAACTGCTAGGAAACTAACACGGCACTGGGAGAACATGTGAACTATACAGCCACAACCCTGAAGGTGCAAGACTCAGTGCTACACGCTGAGCCAATGAGCTGAATTTGCACTTTATATTTCTGTTAGGGAAATTAAGGTCGTACCTGAAAGTATAAAAATAATGATCCTATTTAAAGATCTTTGAGGTGTGGTTCAGTGGGCTAAGCCTCTGTGGCTATAATCAGGATTTCACCACTTCAAGCTCAGCCTCGGCCATTGAACAAGGCCCGTAACCCCCAGCCCCCTAGGTGCCGCAACAGGTGGCTGCCCTTCGCAGCCAGCTCACTGTCACCTAGTGAGGGCAAGATAGGGGAGGCGTAAAGAGAATTTCCCCATGGAGATCAATAAAGTATCAATTATTATATTAATGACAGTCAGGTATAGTTTGCATGTGATGGTTTATATCAATAGTTATGGCTAGCAGTCAAGTCATTTCTGTATAATGAAAATTGTCTTCATTGAGCAAAAAACGAATTGATTGTCTTTTTCTGATGGACCTTGGCATTTTTTCATTGCCTCGGGATTCACAAAGGGAGTGTTTCTTATGAAAGTGACTTATCCATTCCTCCATCTGTCCTTTTTGAACACAAACCCACAGCAGATGCTGCGTACACAGAGCACTGGCGTTAAAGCCCACCTTCTGCCATCATCTGCATCCTCCTTTTCAAATGCAAAGGTGCAAACGGGAGAGGTGCCAGTGACGTCAAACAGAACTCGTGTGAACTCTGGGAACACATCATGCAGACAGAATAGGAGCCATGTCAAAGCTGACTCCAGTTTGTCTTACTAAATGATGCTGAAATTGGAGGAGATGTATAATACATATGAATAAATTCACAGTACAAACTGTAACAATACAATTTTTTGTTAATCTGGCAATACAAGACATTTATTTTTGAGCAGATGTTGGAAAAAAATCAACTGTTAAATGCAATAATGCAATGAAAAAGAACATCAATAACCTATAGGTAATACACTGATATTCGGTCAGCAATACTCACAAAAGCAATGCATGACAGCAAGTTGTATGAGAATAAATTCATGTGCTAAAACACATAATGGAAAGAATTTGAGGTTTGACTGAAACCACTGATTTAACCTGGGTACCACCGAAATTTCTCCAACGTATTTGTGTGCATAGAAAAATATGGTATATAATAGCATCAGATATTCTTTGGGTTCATGGGTTGGGTTGGGTTTAACTCCCAAGCGCTGCCTTACTGGAAACTACATGTTCTCTCTGTGTTGCTGTAGCTTTCTCCGTCATCTTCCAGACATGTTAACGTATGCCCAAAATTATTCCTTCTGATGGACTCCGACAATGACCCCAGCCGTTTCAGAATGGGTAAAAGCTTTTGAAAATCCCTAATGAATGTTCCAGTTCAGTCCAGTAGGGTTTATAAAACTGGTTTCATTTTTTTACTTCTTTTCACAGTGCATCTGCATTACTCATAAGATGTGCTAGTACCAAATTTTGTATGAAACTGCTACTTATATTAACACAAACATATGCAAAGCTTCCGCCCATCAAAATATATCCACAACATCCTTCCTTAAATGTTAATAGTAAATGGTAATGTTTAATTTGGCAAGGCTTCCAGAATGTTCCTAAGCTCCCTGTGGTGGCAAAGATTTAAACAGCTGTCCTAGTTTTCAAGGCCACTGTTAGGTTCTTACAAGGATATGTGCTTCATAACCTACTTTACAGAAATTTTGAATCAGGAACTTTGCAGTTAGAAAGCTGACAAAGAAAGCAAGACAAAAACATGAACTGGGGAACAGACCAACAATATTGCTTAAATATTAGTTATATTTCTATACATTTTTAAAAGTTCTCACCCACCAAATATGAGATGTCTGCATTTAGAATCCCCATTTGGGAAAATCACCCATTTCCATCTAAGAGCAATGAACACCCTTTTCATAAAACAAAAAACAGGAAAATCTGGAACTGATAAAACTTTATTTCACTTTAAATTGTCTTTTACACTCTCCTGATTATTACATGTAAGGTGGAACTAGAACTGTTTTAAAAGACATACACAAATCTAGTATTACGTCAATAACCAGGTATTTTTTGTTTGTTTTTTTCTTTTTTTTAAGTTTAAGCTATTCTAAATTTTCACAACCACGTGCGCGCTAGGGAATAAAACCATCACAGAAGCAAACTTTAGGCAGAATACTGGTCAGTAGAAACAAAGCAAGTAGAGATACCAGATATACAGACAGGCTTGGTTCCACATTCACTACTGCGGTATTTTTTTTTTTGTTTTTTGTTTTTTAAATCAAGCGTAGAGTAACTGCCATTTGTTCAGCTAAAGGGGAGAATCCTTAGTGCATGAAACATTGGCCTCAGCAAGACGAACCGAGACAGGTGACTTCTACACCTAAGTGGAATGTCATGGTGATGGCAAGGTATTGTGACACTGAGTGAATTAAGCTTTTAAATTTTATTCTTTCCTTATTTCCCCAGCCCTTAATCTACCACATTTCCTAAATTTTAACCTAGTAATTTTGAAGAGGCTTTTGTTTTGTTTACATTCTCTACAAGACACCTTGCAGCAAACAAACGTACCAAAGTCTGGAACCCAACACTCATCAACATAAACCTCTTTGCATTAACCCGACATTAAGAACTTTCTCACATTCGTCATCAATAGGATTTCGACTGATGAAGACTACTTCAGAAGATGGAACGATGATTAGTCAGTTCAGGCTGCCAGCATGGAAAATCCAGGTCTACAAACTTTAAAGGTAACAGCTTAAAGGTGTTCTTTAACAAGCAGGTTCACAATATTACATTAAGAAAAATTTATATTCACTTCTAAAAAATGTTTACAATTTACATTTTGTTTCAATGAAAACAGTCATTATGCAGAGGTGCAGGTAGAACATTTAAGAACAAAAAAAAAAAAAAATGTCCACTGTACTGATGTCAAACAGTACATTTATATTAACTGTCCCAATTTGTTCAGAAATGTTCTCATCTGAGAAATGTTTGTTTTGTGATGTGGAATGTTCAAAACCGGTAACGTGGAATGGAAGGGGGGAGGGGAATAACCACAATGGTTCCCTTTTTAATTAAATCTGTTTCATTTTAAAATATAATGAACATTAAACAACAATGCGCATGTTAGTCAGTGTCACAATACAGCCTGTTATTCCGTTCTGTATGAGGCCACAGCAGAATTGTACTGTTACCCAAACCCACGCATATCTGCATTTCACAGAGCAGATTTTTTTATTATTATTATTTATGGACAGGAGGAGGAAATACAACTAAACATCACAGTGTTTGGTGAAAATAAACCGTCACTTTAATAACCTTTGAATAAAACCTGCAAATGCTGGTACACTATAAAACAAAAAGATAAAAAAAAAAATGAATATGATAATTCACAACCTGCATGGGAGAATTAAAAATAAAAAATTAAAATAACGGAACCGGTAGTGAGGTGGGGTGGGGGTGGGGTGATTTTCTACTTGATAATATTCACGATCCAAAAATTGTGCCAGCTGACTGACTGCTATTTGGTCACTTTCGCGTTTTCTGCAAAGGGCATGACTGACAGGCCGGGTACAATTCATGCTGCTTGCCATACAGAAAGGGAGTCCAAATGAAGTTGGGGGCAATGGGCTGTACGTGTGTGTGCGCCTGGGAAATACAGGACGGGGGGATGCGCAGACTGTATGTGTGTACAGTACAGGACTTGGAGCTGCACGGGCTCTATGTGAACGACACCGGTTGCGGGGACGTGTGTGTGCATGATACGGGGAAGTGGAAACATATGGGCTCTATGGGTATACGATACAGGTTGTCAAAACTTAGGGGCTGTACGTGAGTACTATACGGGACACGGGGAAGTGAAGGTGCTATGTGACATTAGTTATCTCCATCGCCAACATCGCCATCATCACCCTGGTTTTCTGATGTCCACAGCTGTAAAGAGGAAAAACATGCATGTTAACTTACTCTCAAAACACAGGGAAGGTCTCGCAATCTTTAGCTGTTTTATAGAAATCGTAACTGAGGATGAACATTTCAGCTAGGAGGGCATCTATCAGTCAGATATATGGACCTTGAACCAACAGGTAGTTAGTTCAAGTGAGTGTGAGCTCTTTATCAGGGAATAGTTCCATTTAAAAATGTCTGTTATAAACAAATAAATGTTATTCAAAGGAAATTAGCTGGCCAAGAAAGTATTACATAAATGCATATGGTTAAAGGAATGTGCAGTAATCCATTTTAGAGAATCTCCTGCATGTACTACTTGTGTAAAAATTTCACAAGTGATGGTTAGCTGCAGCCAAATGCCTTACGCCAATGCTGAGAACTCACAGTGAGGTTGTCCCTTAGTAGCTGCATGATCAGAGTGCTGTCTTTGTAAGAATCCTCATTCAAGGTATCAAGTTCAGCGATTGCTTCATCGAAAGCCTGTAACCAGGGAAGAGAAGGGATTCTTAGTGGCTATGCAGCAAATATATTCTACTTCAGAAAACGTAGTTATGCTCCCTCAACAACAAAAAAAAAAAATCCAGAATTTTATACTTAATTTTACTTACACTATTTGGTTAGCTCAAAACTATTCTGTCACTTTGCTTCATAAAATAATAAAGAAATTAAGACCGGATGACGAGCAATATGTTCAAAAAAGATGAAGACTGAAAAAAGCTGCTTACCGTCTTTGCCAAGGAGCAGGCCTGCTCGGGAGAGTTGAGGATTTCATAGTAGAAAACGGAGAAGTTGAGCGCCAGCCCCAGTCTGATAGGATGTGTGGGCTGCATCTCCTTCTTGCTGATTTCAAAGGCCTCCTGATAGGCCTGCTGGGAATTCTCAACCGTAGCTTTGGGGAGAGGGACAAAATTACTTGATTTGTGCCACAAGATTACAAAACAGATACATTCATTCAAGAGATATTTTCAGACTTTGTTACCTTAAACTTTATCTACAGAGGAAATTTTATTTAAATTAAACAAGGCTACACAATCAGACAGTGCATTCCCATTGGGAAGCTAAAGAAAATGCAGATTATGAACTTCACACTAACATGACAGCAGCTGCATACTAACTTTTCTTGGAGTCTCCAGATGCCACTTCAGACAGGTATCTATAATAGTCCCCTTTCATTTTCAGGTAGAACACCTTGCTCTCTGCCTGACTTGCATTGGCAATGAGGTACTTGTCGAGAAGTCCCTAAAATAAAGGAGAAAAATGCTTATTAGTGTTCATAAGCTCCTATATAGTCTGCTTTCCTAGCCAGTAGAAAGTAAACTCCATAAACAAAAATGCTTCTTCTAGGAATGCGTTAGAAAAAGAAGAGCTTCAGCTAATACCAACGAAGGCTGTAGGGTTTACCAAGTCTGCTCGGTGAATGTGATTAAAGCTACAATTTCTCACATGTTCAGGAGGCCCCACGCATGCCCGACTCCCCTCACCAGCACATCGTTGCAGATGTCCTGCAGCTCGCTCTCGATCTTCTCGCGGTACTCGCGCGCCATCTGCTGCTTCTTCTCGTTGCTCTCGGTCTTCTGCTCGATGCTGGAGATGACGCGCCAGGACGAGCGGCGGGCGCCCACCACGTTCTTATAGGCCACGGAAAGCAGGTTGCGCTCCTCGTTGGAGAGCTCGTGACCCTGCTCCGTCACGGCCTTCATCGCCGCTGCCATGTCGTCGTAGCGCTCCGCCTGCTCTGCCAGCTTGGCCTTCTGAACCAGGTCGCTCTTGTCCATCTTCAAGCTGCCCCAGGAACACACAGAGTGTCAAGAAAAGCAAAGTCCACCAACTGGTTCTGATTGCACTATATGTCCAAGGAGCTGCCTTCTCATCAAGGTGTAACAACATTATTGGACAACATAAAAGCTGAGATTGAAAAATGAAAGAAACCTTCCCTACATTTACAGCCAATGCCTTCTGCCTCCAATATGAGACTGTGCTCTTCATTTTTACCTACAACCCAATTGATGATTACCATTAGGTATGAAATAACACTTAACTGAACATTTAAGGGGGTAAATATAAATTAGGTGTTAAAAAAATAAAAAGAAGATACTTTTAGCCTGAGGGGGAACACTTAGCAGATAAAGTGAAATCCAGTGTCATGGACAAGATTATTGCTGATGCTAGAAATATCCTGCACATTGCCTTGCACGTGGCTGGGTGGCTGGTTACCTGATTTGCCCCTTAACTTCCCACAAAGGCTCAGGTATCTTGAACTCCACTTTAGCAATGCTGGATGTAAAGGTCTCAGGACACTTCATACATATACAAGACCAACTTTACAGTACAAATGTTTCAGAATTTTCTCATTTGTTATATGGAGAAACATCACTGGGAATATTGAGTGTAATTCAGTCATTTGAAATCTGACAGATATCCGTTTTAAATTAAATTGGTGTTATTAGGATTCATCATATGACTAAAAATACAACTACTGCTATATTCATGTACACGAGCTTCAACGCGACCCACAAACAGAACAAAACTATCGAAACGGATAATCAATGGTTTGATTCTTCGATTTCACGATTTTTTTTGTAGCACTGGCAAATGAAAACACACTTCTGGGTCCAATTAAAATGCTTTGAGCAATGTTATGACTATGCGAGTAACAGATTTACGCCATTTGACTGCGGCTTCCGACCACATGAGACGATCGCTGCGTATGCAGGTCGAGTAACCCAATTATTAAAATACTTAAAAATCCAACTGGTACCCAGTCATGACGGACTGCATGCATAATTCGGTCTTCTACTGAATGTGATCAAGTCGGACTAATCATAGAACTACCAGCGCGATTGCGGCGCGGCACTATTCAGGCTGAAAAACCAACTCGACTACGCCCCAGGCCCAGAAAGCGAAGGTGTTCATTCAGCCCGAAGTCTCCGCAGCCGACCGCACGATGACATAAGATAAACCCAATCGCAGGGTTACAGTTGATCTTACATGCCAAATAACGTAATATACAGCTAAAACATGCTTCAATCTATCGCTACCTTTCAGATACACTAATCAGCGAAACACTATCGTTAAAAACCAGCCACAAATATTGAGGAAATACGGTTTGAAGCATGTTTAAATCAGGTGGATGGTAACGCTTTCTGTCTCCGTTAAACGATTAATAGTTTTATGAAAGCGTTTTTAGGTAATACCATACTAAATGAGTATCTATCGGACATGCGAATCAGCAATTTTAGCGCAAAATCTACCGCAGACAAGCAGTTAGCACGCTGGCTAACTACGCCCTCCGGCCTCTGTCGCATTCTCGTGCGGTGTTTCATTCGAGTGACAAACGCGCCTCGAGGACACTTTGGGTCATGGACAAGTTAACCATTCATCTTGCTAACTCCATATATCTGGGACATTTAAAACCAGTCTCCGTACCGAGACCGCAGAGGCCCGCGTTTGCTCGCATTGCATATGGTTTGCTGCTAGTTTAGCTAGCTAGCCAGATATCACGACCTGACAGAATTGGCTGAACCTCACCTCCTCGTCACCCACATTTATGCTAGACAATCAATGTGCATGTAGATTTTTAAATAGATGTGTGAAACCAGTGGTGTCTTTGACCTAAATGTTTAAAGTATCTCATTTGTAAGCCGTGCCTCTTCCTCACGCCACGGCCTAAGTCCTTGCACCCAGCCCCAAACCACAATAGGCACATTCTCTACCGCATACCGTGACTGGACCCGCTGTTATATTGGTATAACCTCTTATATTTGCGCGTAATACCTGGACACGCCTTACAACTAAACCGAGACATGTGAACTCACATTAGTAATGTACTTTTAGTCCTGCTTTTGTCTGTGGACGATGGGAGTCTTTCTCTCCGTCCTCCGTCTCGCTACTCTGGATATTCAGGGCAGTACCACTTCCGCTTGCACTGACACTTCCGCTTCCTCTAAACCCCACCCCTCCCCCCCGCCAGTAACCAAGGCAACCTATGTCCGGGGTTTCCGAAACGTTTTCAGGGGTTAATGCGTCATCACTGCCATGGCAACCGCGGCGGAGGAACGTCAGCAATCACCATGGAGATTTCTCCTAGGTGGAGTTAAGTAGCAGAAGCAGATGCATGATACAATTTATTTAAGAAATGTCTGCTTGTAGTCATTTAGTTACACATTATTGAGATGGGTCATCTTTTTTATAGTGGCTTGCTAGCTGACTTAAACGATAAAATGAAATATAAAACGTGTGAGCTGATTCTATCATCACTTAGTTACCATAATTTTTTATTCAAATTTGGTTTATTCCTCATTGTGATATATTACGACTGGCATACAATTACGTTATTACTCGTCATTTAATCCAAATACAAAGTGTTTTATTATTCATTGCAAACTATCTGGTATTGGATCGTTAGAATGATAATTTCATTGTTGTGACCAGAATAAAAGATATTCAACATTTAATTAATTTCTTGAGGCTGCCTCCCACCCTGAATTAATCCCTGTCTTCTGTCTTTTACTACCTCAGAGTGTCTGGTAGTACAGCATAGGATTCATCCATTCATCCATCTATTTTCAAAATTGATAAATTATCCAGGGTGGATTGCAGTTGTCTGTAGCTTATATCAGTGGAGTGTGCCTAATTTCAGAGGGTTGTCTATTGTAAAGTGCAGTGAGCGTGACTTATTTTCTGCCACTGAACATCCAGAAATTTAAAGCCGATGGTCTTTTTTGTTTTTGGCACAGATAAGAAAACTGGAGAGGAGGTCCTTTGCAAACCAACACAAACTCATGCAAGCAGCGAGATACTCAGATACAAAATAAAATTTCTATAGCCTTGAGCATTACATTTGTGATTTTAAATGTATGGGGCAGGTAGGTCAGATGGTAGAGACTTAATGGTTTTCTGAAGCAAAGCATTTTGCTAGTTGCCATTCATATCCTTTATTTGTTTCTGTTGATATTCAGCAGAGAAAATCAGTGTGAGCCGTAATTTGAAAGTGGGGAGCTCAAGTATGTAGTGCTGTCTGTGTGTCAGTAGGGGGCAGTGGTAAGATGGTAAGAATGGTAGACCAGATAAGATTCAGAAATTACGCCGAATACTGAGCCTTTAAAAATAAAGGTTAATTTTTGTTATATCTTTGCTACAAATTTTGAATAAAAAGCATTAATCCTATTATCGAATTTATGTATTCTGTGAAGGTATACAAAATTAATTGCTGGTAATGTCGAGCTGGTTTATTTGCAGCCTAGTTCAGACTGATTGTCTTTGCATATGACATGAAATATATATGTTAATCCTGATTATATGTATATATAAATCTCAATTGTGTTCACTGTGAGTAACAGAAATTGTTTTTGCTGAAAGGCTTTTTTGCACTAGAATCTCTCCCTGTCAGTTTTGCCATGTCTGGAATACTCACATTAATGTCAATGACATAGCTATGGATTAGGAGTGCCGGTTTATCTTATTAGCACAAAAGTGTCTAAATTAAATGGTGCATTTTATTACTTGCCATTATACAAAAAAATCAGAATTCTATTCATGACATTATGTATCCACATACATAATATGATCTTACCAGTTTTATGACCAATATAGTCCCCTAAGGAGAAATGTTAACAAAGCTTGAAGTTTTAGAAAAGCATATCATGAAAAGGAAAATGTAAATATAATTTATTCTGTCTTCATTTTGTATCCTTCACAGAGATGAAATTCAGAAAGTCAGTGGTGGAGCACAGCAAAGTGATTCTCTCTCCACATTAGAATGTGTCTGCCTGCCTCATCAGTAATCACGGTACATAAACATGCTTCTGCATCTGACTGTTCCATGTCTGACAGTTGTGTGATTTCTCTTAATCTTCTTCATGCAAGGATGCCATAATGACCAGACGCTGCCATTTCAATCTGCCCATTGATTTTTTTTTCACCCTACAAGCTCTCAGTGCATAAAATAACGATTCTTTATATCTCCGTTAGCTTAGATGCCCTTTCCTTGTCCTGAATGGCTCTGTAGTAATATGATTATCCATGGCTGCCTTGACACGTCAAATTTCCATCACAAAGAGCTTTACGTAAAAGTCTACGTATGTATATCTGAATCATACCTTTTAAATTAACTGGAGCTTTGGTATGAAAATTTGCCATCATAGTAAAATTTCACTTGAATTGAAGATGAGGAGGGCTGTGGAGGTCACATAACTTGAAACGGCTCATATTTTACTAGAGTATTGACTTCAAGAGGATGGTAACATTAATCCATCACCTGCCACTGGTTTTTCCCAGTCCAAGGAGCACGGTCTTGAAGGTCTCACGTGGCTCCTGGCCAGAGGTGACACATGCTTATATAAGATCACATGTCTGACCTTCTCAGTAGATCAACTGAGAAATGCAAGCATGCAAAAAGGACGTGGTTGTTCTCATTTTCCTTGAAGCACTTTTCTAATTCCCATAAATTGCTGGATTTTGTCCCTGGTTTAACACTCGAATGTGTGACATATTCCACTCCCCTCTAGAGCTTTCACACTCAGATACTCTCCAGACTTTTTTGTAAAACACTTTCTGCATGTGAATCTACCTCCATCAAATCTGTAATGGTGACAATATGACAAAAAAGAATTGTAATGAATGGATTGATCAAATAGCTATTATGTATACTAGAATACTGAAAATGTAGACATAGACACTGAAGGAACTGAATGGATGATTTTATTCAAATCCTTCACAATTATGTATCAACCCTGGTTTATGTCCATAATGAGAATGAACTGAATCTACAGATCAGTGTACAACAAGTACGAGAAAAAAGTAGTGAGAAAAGAACATGCAAACTCCACAAACATGGAGCCATGGCAGAGACTGGCCCCAATAGCATGAAGCAACAGCGCTAACCAGTGCACCACCATGCCGCCTTTAGATAAAACTAACGATGCTAATGTAAGTATACTACATTCAGTCATGAAATGTAACCCCTCAGTCCTTCTATCTTCCAACTACTTCACCATGACAGGTCACGGGTGGGCTGGAGTTTATCCCATGGAGCACTATCCACTGGAGAGGATACCAGCTCCTCTTAGGGCAGGCACACAATCACACATTATAGGCATTATAGAGATGCCAAATTCCCTTACTGTCTTTGACTGTTGGGGTAGACAGGAGTACCTGATGGAAATCTGTGCAGTAGAGGGGATCATGCAAACTGTACATAAACATTCAAAACACCATCACTTGAAGTGTGTGGCAGAACTGCTACCCAGTGCTCCCATATCATATACCCAATCAACTTCACATATTACTTGAATAAGCATGATCTTTTTTTGCATTAAATGACTAGTAGACAATGAACTGGTAGGTCACAGTGAGTCCTTTTTTTCTGCCAGTGTCCTCAACAACACGTAGTTCACCATTTGCAATTTTGTGTCTGACAGTTCTGTATCAGCCATTTTGAAAATCATTGAAGCAGTGGTTGAAACATTTTTTTGCTGAATAACTTACTTAATTAATTGGGTTTATGTACTTGAAAACCAGGAACTGGGAGCTGTACCAGGAACCAGAAAACACAGATAGTGGGATTCCTTTTTTAGTGATTGTTGAAGAGTAACCATCAGGGTGTGCTCACATGGCAGTTTGAAAGCACTGTGAAGTAAACTGCACATTTTCTATGAAAAAAAATATCACGGCGTTTGAAAGGGACTGCAGATGACAGAGAAATGCAGCCAACAGCCGAGCTTAGTTTCCATTATGAACTTGTGGGCCTTGCTCCATTTTCCTGCAAAACTAGGTTGAAATGTACCAGAAGAAATTGATCACACTGCAGAAGCGAGTGCCAGCAGTTGGCAGTTGGCACACATATTGTAACTCTTGCCTACCTCTTGGATGTCTGCGTTGTCACTGAATGAATTCAGGGTAACCGGTGACACACACACACACACACACACACAGAAAAATACAGATAGCGGAGCTGCATTTCTCACAGATTACACACGGCTCCGCATTCTAATTTCCTATTATGAGGAGATGGCTCCTGAAATATAGTTAATTACCTTTCAAAACTACAGATTTTCAGCAATAGCAAGTACAACAGAATAGGTTAATGTCCTCACGAGGTCAAAAATAAACCTCCCACATTTCTTGTTACTAGGCTCACTTTAAATGCCACGTTCAATATTACCTTTGTTTTATGACCTTTCTTGATTAAATAATGCTGGGGGGGGGGAAGGTCACAGGGCAAAAAGTTCAATTGTTTGAACCCTAAAAAGAATCTTAGAGTATTCTCCTCTCAGCCTTTTCATGCAGAACAGGGCATTAATTGATTTTGCTTCAAATGTATTACTTTATAATATTCAGTCCATATTACACGTTTTATATAAAATATAAAATGAAGTTAATGATGGGGTTGACGTTTCTGATACGTCTAAGGAGATCTCATTATTAAAATTTAAATTTAATGCTCTCCACCCATAATAATATTATAATGTTATGTAGGCCAAACGAATTGACACTGATGTGTGAAGGTGTAGGATGTAGACCTGATTGGTATTGATCTAAACAGAAGGTGCTCTACAGCAGCAACATTTACAGAGCAAATGAGACACAGGCTCTACAATCCAACTGCAGAATTAGCGGGTTTATGCAACCATATGCAGGAATAACAGGCACATATCATAAGCCAAGGTTATTCACAATCCAGAACAAAGCATGTACCAAGTCCAAAATCACAATCAATAGACAGGGTCAGAAGCCAGGTGAGATTCTGGAAACCACCAGTGGTCTAACAGAGGTGCAAAGAGTCACCATAGTTCAACAAAGAGTGAGTTCACAAGGTTCAGGATCACAGTGGTCCTTATATCACCCTTCATGTCAAAGGATGTAACATGAAGTGTGTTTAGTATTCAGAGGAGGCGGGGCTTGGTCTGGGGGGGGGGGGGGGGATGTAGGTGCATGTGTCCACATCAGGCTTCAAGCCAGTCGATCCTTGTCA